GCGGGCGGTGGGTGGGCGGAGCGGGCGAGAGGCGGCAGGGCGGACATAGGCTGGCGCAGGGCGGGTCCGGGCACTCGCCGTGGGAGGGAGAGCGGCCACTGCGGGGTGGGTGTGCGGGCCGGCGGGGAAGGGCGCCTTCGACCATCACCATCTCGCCGGGGACGAGCTGAGGAGGCCGGGAGGGAGGGAGAGGCGGCAGGGCGTCAACAAGCAGGCGGCGCCGTCTCGCGGGCAAGAGGGGCGGGAGCGGGGCCACAGCCTCTCCTCTCGCCGTCAGAGCCGCCGCGGCGCCGCGCTCTCGCACACGCGCGCGCCCAGGGCGGGCGGGGCTTGCGTCCGGGGGTTGCTGCGGCGGGTGCTTCCTGCTCTGCAATGAGCGCGAGCGAGCCACGGGCGCGCACGCGCCACCTCATTCGCGGCGGTGGCCGCTTGTCGCTGAGAGCCTGCCACTCGGAGAAGCGCGGCACGGTCGAGCTGAGCCAGAAGTAGCAGGTTGGCCGCCTCAATGGCGGCAGGCTCTCTGCAGAGGCTTCGGCTGCCTCTGCGGCGGCGGCGACAGCGCTGTCTCCGCTCGCGTCTGCCTTATCCACGCCCTCGAGGCGCGGCGTCGACTGCACGCGCCCATAGATGATGAGCTTGTGGTAGGAGCGCGGCCGCGCAGCCGGCCGCAACCGACCAGCAGCGGCGAGGCGAGCTGCTGCTGAGGACGCCGCGCGGGCGAACATTCTTCTTCAAAAGAAGAAAGAGGTTTGGGGCGGCATCAAGGTCGCGGCGAGAATCGGCGAGAGACTGCGAAGAGAGATAGGAAGAGGCGGACGCCCAAGCGTGGGCGACGGCTAGCGCACCACACACCTCTCCTTAAAATCCCTGTGTGGTGGCGGCGTGCCGTCCTCCCATCCCTCCCTTGGCCTTGCGCCTTGGGTTCTCTGTTCTTTCTTTCTTTCTTTTAACACAGGCAAACTACCGCCAAAAAGATTCTCTGCTTGCTTCGTTTTTCTAATTCTATATCTTTGAAAACTGCTAATTTGTCCCGTCGCGGGCTTTTCCCAGGCTCATGCTGCCCCCTCTCGCTAATTCTGGCCACAGCTCACGCACACAACCGCCACACGCACACAGCTCACAGGGCGCCCCCGCTGTGCGAGGTCCGCACACGGCGGTCGGCGCGGCACACAATGCGGGCGTCTCTCAGTTTGCGCGCACCGACGCGATCGTGTCCTCCGCCTTGGTCACGCCGCGGCTGACGTACGGCGCCGCGCGGAAGACGATCTCGGGGTAGAGCAGCACCGCCGCGCCGCCGCCGCCGAGGAGGGAGTTGCGCGCAACGAGCCGAAGCTGCGCAGGAGGGAGGGCGCGAGGTGTGTGGCGCGATGTGGCGGCGTGCGTGGTGCGTGGCAGTGCGTGTTTGAAGGAGCCGCCGGCCCGCGCGCGTGGCTGTTTTGCGTGCGCGTGCGCTCGTGCGGTGTGCGCGCGCGTGTCGGTGGGCGGCGCGAGGGTGGTGGCGAGGCGTCCGCACCGCAGTGAGCTTGCTTGTGCGGAGGTGCGCGAGCGCGGGCAGGACGGAGACTCCGGTGGCGGCGGCGACAATCACGGCGGGGTACTGCCGCCGGAAGGCGAGCAGCGCGGCCCAGTGCTCTGCGCGGGTAGCGCGGAGTGGCGTCGAGTGGGTGGTCGTGCGGTGGGTGGGCTGATTGGTTGGGGTGAGTGAGGCAGCGCGTGAGCGAGAGGCAGCTGGGATGAGGGGTGGGTGCGAGCGGGAAAGGTCCCCTGGGGGGTGGGGGGTGAGTGGGGGAACGGGCGCGATGGGCTTTGCGGGTGCGCGGCGTGTCACTGCACACCCTTGCTCGCATCTGACGGCTGCAGCGTCGCCGTCACCTGCCGCTCGACTGTCTCTGTCGACACCTGAGGCCGGCGGGTTGGAGCCGCGGTAGGGAGCAGGGCCGCTGCAAAGGGTGCGGCCGAGGCTTCGGCGCGCGGGCGCGGCTGCCTTTGCCGTCGACGTGAACTCCCACGCCGACTTGCGGAAGGAGCTGACGCGCTCGCGCAGCGCGGGCATCGCCACGACATAGTCGTGCGCCTGCTGCAGCCACTCCCACTGGGCCATGATCTCTTGGAAGAGCGTCGGAGGCGCTGCGTCCTGCAGAGGAGGCGCTGCGTCCTGGCTGCTGGGCTCGCCCATGCTCGCCGCAGCCTTCAGCGCGAGGCTTGCAACGCCGAAGTGCGGCCGTGTTGGGGTCAAGAAAAAAATCGCTGGATGGGGGGTGGGGGGTGTTGTGTGTGCGGCGGTGGTTGTAGGTATATTGTTGGCAAATCAAGACACAGAGCTCACACAGAATCACAGCGGGAGGAAAGCGGCGAGTCGCAATTCCAGGGGTCGTTGTGGCGGGCCACCCTGTCCAGAGAGGCATGGATGCCAATCTGGGGTCTCTCGACCGAGTCTATGAGCCCTGGCCGCCTCCCGATCTTGGTGGTAAGGCCGCAGCCGAACAGGGCGACGGAGATGGCGCGGGAGAGTACGGGTGTTCCAGGGGATCACGACACGCACCGACCCTTCACGAGCCGAAAGGCCGTGCCCGGCGTGCAAGGGGCACGGTAATCCGGTGGTGGGTGGTGGTGGGTTGGGTCCGTGGAAAGCCGTCTCTCCGCAGGCTTCGGGCTATCTCGAGCAGAGCGAATAGCATCATTCCGTCTCGTCGTTGTCAGAAAGAAAGAAAGAAAAGACAGCAAGGGAGGGATGGGAGGACGGCACGCCGCCACCACACAGGGATTTTAAATCCGCGAAATGAGAAGCTGATGGAGTTGCGGGTCCAGCTTGATGCAATGACGAAATCGCAGCAGCAGCAGCAGCAGCCCAAGAGGTCGAGGTTGCGTTCAATCTGGTGAGTGAGGGCCATATCGGTACACGTAGGGTCCTAGTCGTAGAGCCGTGAGGTACAAGGTGTAAGGTAAAGCAAGGTAAACGTGCCGCGCAGCGCTATTTCTTTATTTCCGACGTCATCCGCTCCAGCCTCGTCTGCCTCCTCGGCCTCGTGGCAGTCACGAACGGCCTGAAGCTCGGCGCGCGCGCGTCGCGTACGCGGAGCGCGGCGATCATGCAGTTTGACTTTCTGAAGAATATGATGCCAAAGCAGCGACCGACGGTGTGCGCCTCTCTCGGCCCTCCTCCTGTCCTCACACAACCTCTCTCAGCCCTCCTCCCCACACAACCTCTCTCAGCCCTCCTCCTCTCCTCGCACTTGCAGCGTCAGCGCGGGGGCTAAAAGCTAAAACGAAAAGGCCCCACCGCCTTTCCGCCTACGCGAGGGTGCCTAACCATGTACAAGGCGGTTTGAAGATTTGTTTTATCGTTTTTCACTGCGCCCTTCGCTGTTCATTTGCGAGAGAGGTTCTTCCCGCCATTCTCTCGCCATTCTCTCGCCATTCTCTCGCCATTCTTCCTCCGTTCAGATGTAATTCGCCCGCTTTTCAAATACATTTTGTGGCGCTTTCAAGAGATTTTTTATCGCAAATTTAGTGCTCTTCATGGCAGTTTAAGGCAAGCGTGCCTTATCCTGGCTGGGTCCGGCGTGGTCGGGAGCCCTCGACTCCTCGGCTTAGGCTGTACCCATGTTTCCTCGCTCACCCCGTCTCGTTTCCGTGTTTCTCTACAGCACCCTCTCGTTTCCTCTCTAGTTTCCCGAGGAAACTCCGCGAAAACCGTCAAATCTCTTTGTCAATTTCACGGGCTGAGCCGAGTCTGAGGCTGGTTTGGGCCCAAAATCAGCCGACTCTCGGCAAAATACCGGGTATTTTGCGGGTACCTGGAAGACCCCGGGTATACCTGGAAAATACCCGGTATTTTGCCGGTTTCCTCGGTTTCGCCTCAGATTTTGGCCCAGACCAGCTCTCAGACACAAGGGAAACTCGAGAGTTGCCAGAATGGAGCACCAAACACCCTCTGGCCCTGGAAATTTCCGGAAACGAAAAGTGCTGGGGACCCTCTCGTTTCCTTTTTGGTTTCCGGAAACATGGGTACAGGCCAATCCTCGGCGAGCTCTTTCCTGCCTCAATGACATTGCAACAATGAACGCGTCTTACTTAGCCCTTAGCTGTCTAGAGCACGTCTTGCTACTATATGCACCACAACAAAACTCCCTCAAAGTCGTGAATTCTTCTTCCGCGTTTCGTGGCCATAGGCGCGCGGGGCGAGGAGACACATGGCCGGGAATGAGCCCTTGCTCATCGCGTGCAGGCAGGGTCCCACTCTTCGCAGCACTCGGAGCTGCTCGGCATTGATTCCCTCATCATGAAATGTGGGATCTGTGGAAGCCAGATCATGGTCCTTATCCTAAGCCCGCGACACTACTCACTGGGCGGTGCGGGTGCTTAGCAGCAGCAGTGTTCCTGCCCAACCTGCCCATAAATTGGCCTGTAGGGGCTTGAATTTAGCGTCGGTGCGGTAACTTCAAGGCAAACCGTGTCGCCAGACATGTTTGTGAAACGCGGTTCAACGTTGTGTAAACGTGTCTTGAATGGCGGCTGAAAGGCGGGGGAAGGGGGAAGAGCGGGTGAAGGGAGGGCGAAAGGAGGGAATATGACGGCTGATAAGCGGTAAGATCGGCGCTAAACAGGCGATAAACGCAATTTAAATTTATTTCTAGGGCGGTAAATTCACGCTTACGGCTTAGGCATCGTCCCCTCCCTACGGCCTTAGCTTTTGCCAGTTGCGGATATGCGCCTCTTCTGTCTTCTCTATAGACTATACCCATGTACCAATACCAAGGTACCACACATGGGCCATATACCAGAGCGAGAGCTAGACATTTTTTATATTGACGCATGGTATGGACGCAACAGCCAACACATATGGGGATACAGATTACAGTCACCAAAGGGGATACCCAGTTCTATACTCCGTCCCAGCCGGCGCCGCGGCACCCATTTGTGCTTGCAGCGCCGCGATCTGCGAGGCTTGCTGCTCCATCTGCGAGGCCTGCTGCTCCACCAACCCGCGCAGCGCCTCGAGCGCTGCCCCCTGCGCCTGCGCCTGCGTGCCCTGCGCGACAATATTCTCGGCCATGAAGGACATGACGTGCTGCGGGGTGCCGCCCAAGCCGGAGGGCGCGTAGTTGCTCGCGTCGGGCTCGAAGGCGCAGTCGTGCGGCCAGTCGGCGCCGTCCCAGAGGCCGGCGAGCCGCTCGAGGAAGAGCGCAGAGTACTTGAAGCCCCACGTCTCTCCGAGCGGCGAGAGCAGGTCAGTCGAGGGCGGGAAGGCGAGCCAGCCGGGCACCTGTGCACGGCTCGAGGCGTGAAGCGCGGGTGCGTGGGGGGGGGGAGGGAGGGGGGAGGGGGGGCGCCTCGGGCGCGCAGACGCAGGGGAAGAGGAAGCAGCCGTAGCGCACCACGAATAGGGAGGTGCAGAGCAGCACCGTGCCGATGCTCGTGAGGGAGAGGCAAGGGCCTGGAGGGGCAGGCAGGGAAGGGGGAGGGGGTGAGCATCGTGCCCCGCACGCCTGCGCCCCTCGCGAGAGGACAAGTGGCCGTGGACTGCACACGCTCCTCCTCGAGGGCTGGTTGGAAGACTAGCGGCCCGTGCTTCCGCATCTAAGAGGCACGGGACCGGTGTGTGGCGGGCAGACCGAGGGGCCGTCGATGCACCACGGGATGGCCTGCCGCGCCGAGAACAGAGAGGAGCCGTTAGACTGCTGGCCTACTTGCCTGCCGCGCCGAGACCGCCGAGGCATGCAGCCGAGGTCTCGCCGAGGTGCAGCGGAGATGCGACGGCGCAAGGCCCGTCCGACCGAGTCGGTGACCAGGACGTGTCTGGGGACGTGTCTCGGAAGTGCCTCTCTGCGCGCGTGCTCGCCTGCCAGCAGATCTCGAAGTAGAAGGCGGAGATGGGCACGACCCAGAGGAGGAGGGTCGAGAGGGTGTACTGCGTGAGGACGACGAGCAGGGCGGAGACGCCGAGCGTCCACCACAGGTAGACGTACGTCATACTCAGCTGTGTGACCGGCACGCGCGCCCCCACCACGTACGCGGACAGCACGCCGAAGAGGGGCGTGTTGGGCGTGTAGAAGCCGAGGCAGCCGACGAAGAAGACGATGGAGTAGGCGAACTGCGAAAAGGCGGGGATGAAGCGGAAGATGAGGAAGACGATGATGGCGTCCTGCGGCGGGTGTAGCGGCCATCAGCCGGGCGGAAAGTGGGCAAGGATGGAGAGGCGGAGGGGTAGGGCGAGGCATGTCTCGGCCCTCTGGCGCGGTGGAATGCGGCGCGGGTGCGGTGTGTGGGCGGTATCGGAAGCTTCTCGGAAGGGTCGCCTGGAGCGCCGTCCCCGACGACCCGATGACGATGATTGCGGGGATGGCGACGACGATGTAGGCGGGGACGATGACTCCTTTGACGGTCGTGACGACGCACCAAAAGACAAGTGTGCAGTAGGCGTAGGTCTGGCCCTCGTACCGGCTGGCCAGCGAGCGCAGCTGGATGCGAAGCAGCGCGTGGCTCTGGATGTACTGCGTGCCGACGGGGCTGTTCCCAAACGCGGTGCCGATAACGAGCAGCAGGATGACCAGCGGCAGCACGATCGCCTCTGTGTTTTGCCACACGTAGCCGATCGGGTCGTCGCGCGCCTGGTTCTGCGTGTTCTCGATCGAGTACTTGCGCGTCTTGTGCGGCGCCTGTCGCACTAGCCCCGTGAGCAGGCCATCCAGCAGGGCGATCTCGAGGAAGAGGGTGAGGACCGCGACGACGACGGCGGCCCACGAGTGGAGCTGGCAGCCGAGGGCTTGGTACCACATCATCTGCGTCACCGGCCACGAGCAGCGGCAGCCGAGCCAGTTGATCATGAAGCCGCTTGTGCCGTTGCCGTACACGGACGCCGGTTGCGGCTCGTTCAGTCCTGGCGAGCCGTCGTCCTGCTGGACGGATTGGTACGGGTTCTCGACCGCGTTGTTGATGCCAAGGTCGGCGAGGTAGCGGGTGATGGATGCCCACTGCGAGAATATGTAGATGTCCGGCGTGATCTGCAACAGGCTCCCGTCGCTGCGCCTCGCGATGTAGTCGTTTTTTCCCGTTTTCGTCCAACTACCGCCGTCGGGGTTCAAGAGCTGCGGCAGGCTGACGATCACCGCGGGCAGCACCTCGTTTGGCTGCGGCAAGTCGTACGTCGGGAAGGTGAGGTACGGCTCGCCGCTGTGCTCGCCGCTGCCTCCATTGAGATACGGCAGCGCTGGCTTGCCCAGCGCGTCAAGAAGCTCCGCCATACCCGCGGAGGCGGCTGTCGAGGCAGCTGAGCCCGATAGGCCGGCCGGCGACGGCAGCGGGTCGGGGAAGCGTCGGCGAGCGAGAAGCTGGGTTGCGCTGCGCAATGCGCCAAGCAACAAGGAGAGGTGGCTCAGAAGAAATATTCGGCTATAGTTGCCGCAAGCCAGCTGCGCAAGGCCGTCGATGTGGCTTATTCTGCACTCACTTCCTACACACATGCACATGCACATGTGCATGTGCACTCAAACTAACACAGCAGCTCGTCTGCCCTAGTGGCCCCTAACTAGCCTACCACCTACCAAATCCATGCTACACACTGCGCCTGCCACAAAGCGCTCTACACAGGTTCTGTACTCGGACATGCATGGCTAACACATGCCCCGACCCAGGGCTATGCGAGCGCGTTTGAGTTGTCACCGCTTCCTAGATGTAGCCCGCACAGCCGGCCGCCAGCGCTGCCTCGTACGCCGTCCACAGACAGAGATGGCAAGGGCCAGGCACCAGATCCCGAGGAGGATCGCGTTTGTGAGGAAGAGCGGGCTGCGGGCGCCCGCTTCGGGGTGCTCCTCGGCCTGGCAGTCGGCGTCGATGCACATGGAGAGGGTGAGGAACGGCAGCGTGATGCACGCGAGCAGGAAGGTCGGGACCAGAATTCGAATGGCGAAGAGGTCCTGCATGTCGTCCTCTTCTCGGCCTGTGAGCTCCTCGCACAACATAAGGATGGCAGCGAGCCACGTAGCGAGCCCTGGCCAGTTCCGCTTCGCCCACGCGGAAGGGCTGCAAGTGGCGCTGGGAGGCTTCGCTGCCGGCTGGCTCGCTTGGAACGCGTCCTCCTTCGCTCTGTGGCCGAAGCGGCGGCCGGCCGTGATGGTCGTGAGGAAGGATGCAGCCTGGTAGGTGGTGCAGACGATGAAGAAAACGGAAAGCCACGTTGGTACCTTTGACACTACCCCTTCGGTCATCAGCACGACCGTGGCGAGCACGGTGGTGATGGCGAGGCCAGCGCGGTCCATATTACCGCTCTCCTGGCAGCGCGAGAGGGTACGCCGAGCAGGTGAGAAGGGGGCGGCAAGGGGGCGGCGAGGCTTGGGGGCGGGGGCGGGCGGGCCTCCGGGATCCAAAATTGCATCATCGAGAGAATAACAAGCAGCCAGGCCATCATCACATAGGAGGTGATGATGTACGATGGTTCGCGCGTGATCTTGAAGGTGTAGGTGACCAGCGGCTGCGCAAAGGACATCGCGGAGTGCTGCATGTCGGTTTCCCCCTCGTGGATGCCGACTGAGGCCGGGCTGCACCGTGACTTGTTGCAAACCCTTTCAAGCGCAAACCCTTCTGGTTGCGAACTGATCGAGAAACCGAAGCCGGCAAGATGAACCTTAGTAACCTCCACGTCGGTTGTGATGTTGAAGGAGCACGTGTGGATGTCGTAGGGGTAAGGACTGATGCTCATAGGGCTGCAGTCAAACTCGCCGGTGACTTTCTGCGACCACGTGACCACGCCGTCATGGCGCACGGTCACTAGAGTCTCCCCAGCGTCCCGCTCTACCACCTCGGAGAGGTGGTTTTGCACAAAAAGATTTGGCGTCCAAACCTCATCATAGCCCACCTGGAGAGTGAGAGAGTGAGAGAGTGAGAGAGTGAGAGAGTGAGAATGGTGAGCGTTAGTGTGAGAGTGAGAGAGACCTGGATGGTGAGCGTTAGTGTGAGAGTGAGAGAGACCTGGATGGTGAGCGTTAGTGTGAGAGTGAGAGAGACCTGGATGGTGCCATTGAACTGTTCATCAGACCACTCCAGCCGCGTGTCAGACCACGAAGTCTTCATCCAAAAGGTGGCCTGAAACGTGTTGGCCGGGACGGAAATCTCCTGGACCACCACCTGGTGCACGCCAACGTAGACCACGGTGGCATGGGAGGTTTGGGAGGCCGTTGTCGGCAGCGGGCGTACCGCGGAGTTATATGCACTGCCGAGCACCTTGCTCAAGATATGACCCTCGGCGTCGGAGGGAATTAGCAGTGAGGAGGAGAGGAGAGTAAACCCCTCCATGCCTGGAACGTCCGCCTTTACGTCTGCCGTCGTCATCCAACCATTTTGTGAGGCCATCTCCAGCGCGGTCGACAATGACCTCCACATGCCCTTCCTTGCATGGTTAATCATGGGATCTACAGTTGCAAAGACGCTGTCATCGTCGAGGTAGGGACGAATGAATTCATCATTGCCGAAGCCGTTGACAAACAGGCTGCGAGCTCGATAGGGAGGCAACCGCACATTCGCTGCCGTCACCGCCCCAATCGCATGCCTGTCCGACGTAGTGAGCACCGCGTTGATGGTGTCGTCGGCGAGGAACATGGCCTCCATATATCTCCGCGCTGTCGACTCGGTCCAACCGCTAAGTCGGACTGATGCAACAATCACGACTTCGGAAGCCTCGCAGCCGGCCTGGAAGCCGAGAATGGCGTTGTCAATGCGGCCGTCGGCTTCCCTATCCAGAGAATACAGGGTCGCGAGCCTCAGCGGTGCCGATGATGTACTGCCCCAGCGGCGGCAGAGTTCTCCTCCGAGCTGTTGGCCGCCCTGATTAAGGTTTGCCTCGAGTTTGAGCAGAAAATGCTGGCTGAAGTTGACGTGCTGCTCGAATCCCGCGCCAGCGTTGAAGACGAACACTGCGACGCCTTCCCTCGCCACGCGCGCAAGCGCTTCGATCTTGTCTGGTTGAACGCCGGGTGAACCCACGAGAGCCACCCGTCCAGAGGCAGACCGACGGGCACGAGCGATGATGGGATCGAGGATGGTGTTCATGGTCTCTGCGTCATTCGACCTTGAGAAGCAGGTTAAGGTGGCGCGGTTAGGTATGCTGCCGTTCGCCGCCACGGCGGTCGGAAAAAAATGAGGAGCGCGCGCGTCCTCGCTGCCTGGGAAGGAGAAGGGGACGGAATCCGCGCAGGGCAAGACTATATGGACCTCTGTAATCTGCGCGCCGGTGGCCCAGGCCAGCGAGGGCAGCAAAGCTAGCATGACCGCGCGCGTATAGCGTGGGGGGACGGACGCTAATAATTCGCGGTGTTGTTGTCTCTCTCCTCATTCGCACGCACTCCTCTCATTCGCACGTACGTCTCTCTCTCTCTCTCTCTCTCTCTCTCTATACTAGTGTGGACCTGCGGCGGTACCCGTCTCTGTTGTTCGGGCAGTGAGAGACGCAGGATCTGCACGCCAAAGTGGGCCACTCCGCATTTGCATTTTGGTTTTGGGTTGGTCGGAGATCATCCATCAGCACTCATGTCTCATCAGTCAGTCACGTCAGTCAAAGCAGTCGTGGCACGTGGAGCAGTCGCTGCATGCAACGGCGCCGCCACACGCTCCGGACGACCCCGACAACCGACACACCACGCACAATGGGAGGCTATCGCGCACGATCGGGCATCGCGCCGCAAACAACTCGCCGCACAGATGGGGGGGAGGCAGAATCCCACACACACCGGAGCAGCACAGACACCTTACACGTCAGCGCTCGCTCGATGTGGCCGGCGCTCTCCCCTCGGTCCTATCTCGCCTTTTCAACGGCGGCGTGCGGCCACGCGCCGCGCCGAGCCGGTCTCGGCGGGAGACCTCGGAGCCGCACGCGATGCGGGCATGCGCGATGGCTCCGTTGGCTCCGTGCCTAAGGCAGATCGATTAGGGTGTGAGCTGCGGCAGCCACCGTTTCTGTACCCGCTCGATCACGTGCAGGCCGTCGGAGGCCGCGCTGGATGGCCCAGGGCCGGCGGCGGTGAAGGCGTCCGTCGATGAAGGGATGTCGTCGAGGGAGCCATCGTCCTCCGTGCCTGGTGCACCGGTCCAGTTGTCGGAGTTCGAGATCGCAGTCGACTTGGAGAGTGTGTTCGGCCCGTTGACGAACTCACGGAATGTGAGCGACTTGGTGCACGCTGGGTCGAGCATCATGACTCGCACCTCATCCTGGGCGAGGAACTCGCCCAGGGACCAGCTGTTGGCGTCGCCGTTTTGATCGAGCTGCATCCACTGCATGGTTTCGTAGTCAAGCGTAAACGCCCAGGAGTTGGTGCCTGGGTGACTTGCTGATGAGAGCGCCTTCCAGGCGGGTAGTCGTGCCCCTCACCTAAGGTCATGCGGCGGCGTCAGAGGGGGGGAAGGGGCGCGAAGCGTGAACATGGAGGCAAGCAGGTGGTGGGCTGCACCTGGCCAAAGCCGGCGACCTCGAAGTTGTCGTAGCTTGTGCGGATATCGCTGAGCGTGAGAGGGACCGGATCGGCAACAGCATGGGCGGCCGCGTCAGCGGCCGGAGAGGCCGGAGAGCCATCCGACGGAGGCCGGTCGTGCATCGGCGCGTCAGCCGCAGGGGCCGGGGGGGCGGCGGCATCCATCGCTGCGGGTCGCTGCGGGCCGACGATTGTGGACGGAGGCCGACTGAAGCTGGGACGTTCTACGGTTAAACCAAGAGCGTCGGCGCGGACACGAGAGACTTATAAGGGTAGATATCTATCTATCTCTCTTTCTTTCTCTCTCTCACACACACATTCTATTCGCATACTTACTCCATCCATACACACACACACACACATACAGTACTTACTCATACGAAAACGCTCACAATCTCACATCAACAATGAGGTACCATGCGGCGGGTTACAGCCAGCATTGGCACAAATTACTACTCCGTAGAGCGTAGTGTGAATTGAAAAATGTTCAGTTTTCAAAGGCAAAACACGACGCTCCTGTCTGCGGTTGGTGCACACCCCTCACACTGACACACTCACACATAGAGTACGGGGTGTGGAGGGTGGGTTGACCAGGGGTTGAAAGTAAACACGGGTCTCCGAGGGTTAGCTCCGCGCTCCAGGTTTCCCCTAGCAGCAGAACGCCCCCTCTACTCGGAGCTAGTAAACACTCGACACGGGGACTCGACGCCCACCCACACCCGGCGCCTCACCACTCCGGACCCCTCTTCGTGGTCTCCCAACTTTCACTCCGGGGCGTCTTCCTCCACCTCTCGGTCCTTCCTTCTGGTCGCATCCCGATAGTTGTGCGACGGGCGCGGGGCCCGACCTCCCCTCCTAGCCTTTTGAGAGCGTCGAGTCTTTTGAGAACCTTTTTCCATCGCCACTTGATTGCATCTTTGCTTCGTTTGGTGGCGGATTCGAACGGCCACTGCTCTGCCACCTTTGGCAACGAGATGCCGTCTCGAACGTGGCGCAGCAGCACGAAGGCATCCATCTCCGGACGCCACGGGACGGCGCTGTGCTTCGATCGGCCGGATGCGTGGACGGCCATGAGGCTGCGACGCAGAGCACCGGGAAGAGGTGAAATGTAGTCCTCTTGCACCACTGGGTCGGACGAGAAGGGACCGCCGATCATGGCAGCGAGAGCGTAGAGGAGCAACCTGTGCATCGCCAGCACAGAGCCAGCAAAGCCGCCTCGAATCGGTGAGGGGATCGTGGCGGCGATCGCTGGACGTGTCCCTTCGACGGCGAACTCCACCCCCTTGGGGCTTTTGGAAAAATGCTTCCCAGAAGACTTGAGTTGTCAAGAGCGTCGGCGCGGACACGAGAGACTTATAAGGGTAGATATCTATCTATCTCTCTTTCTTTCTCTCTCTCTCACACACATTCTATTCGCATACTTACTCCATCCATACACACACACACAACAACAACAACATTTGTTTGGTATTGCTAAAAATCTCTCTCACACACACACATACAGTACTTACTCATACGAAAACGCTCACAATCTCACATCAACAATGAGGTACCATGCGGCGGGTTACAGCCAGCATTGGCACAAATTACTACTCCGTAGAGCGTAGTGTGAATTGAAAAATGTTCAGTTTTCAAAGGCAAAACACGACGCTCCTGTCTGCGGTTGGTGCACACCCCTCACACTGACACACTCACACATAGAGTACGGGGTGTGGAGGGTGGGTTGACCAGGGGTTGTGCGCCGGGCCCTCCTGCTCGGCTCCAGCGAGTGGACAAGTGTTGTCATCAACAGAGTAGAAGAATCTGACCTCGGGGCCGATGTGACCAAGCGCTGGTAGTGTGGTTTTACCTCACACCCATGGTCTCACAGTGTGCCGGCAGTCGCCGAGCAGTGTCGCTCACACAAGCCGCAGCACAAGTGACTGAGGGCTAGTGAGGGCGAGCCCATCGCTGTGACAGCTGTGGCAGCCGCACAGAGTAGGCTGTGCCAACTGTGCAGAGTGTGTGAGCAGCAGAGGAGCTGCTCTCCAGGCTTCAGGCGCAAAGAGCTGCATGCCACCGAAGGCGCTGTCGAGTTCGCCGAGAGCGGCGCAGGTTGGAGGACACCGTCACCGACGAGCGCGTTGGACTTTTCACTCCGGACAAAGACGGCGACACGCACACGAGCTGCGGCCGTGTCGCCGTCATAGTGGCGAGGCGCGGGACCGTCTGTGGCGAAGTGGGTCGCGTCCTCCGATTTCCGTCAACTCAGCATCCACACCCTCTATCCCAGGCTATTCCCAAAACTTTAGGTTGCGCGCACGTCTCCCAGCGCGTGCAGCGAGCTATAGGATCTCCGCTTTTCCGTTGCGAATTGAACCCTTGGTGCGCGGCTTCATTAATTCTTGGCGCAAATATAAGAGTAGAAAATAATAAAAGAAAATCGCACACTCTAGTCTCTCGACGGCTTTACTCCAGGACGACAAAATATCAAAATAACCTTGATCGAGAGACGAGAGAGAGCCGTGGCGCTTGATCGGCGGACGGCGCGTCGGCGCGCGAGAGCTGCATGCCGCTCGCGTAGCGTGCAAACCCGTCGAGCGTCGACGAACCTTAGCGGCCGCACCCGTGCCACGCCCAACCCCCCAAGCAATCCCCCCCCCCCCCCCTCGCCTCACTTTGCGTGCTCGCGCTCGCACGCCAGGATCCAGTCGACCGCCTCGGCGACGCCCGCCACCACGGTGGTCGCGCCGTTCGTCTCGTCGCCGTCCTTGTAGACGCCCGTCTTGACGAGCACGCCCTTCCACGCCGTGTCGTTGCCCTTGGCCTTGTGGAAGATGTTTGCGCGCCGCACCCCCTCGATGTCCGACGCCGGGTTGTCGCCGACCATGTAGAAGCGCTCGGCACGCGCCCCCCCCGCCGCCTGCTCACAGCCGGGTGTTTGGCGTGAAGAGCGCGCCATTTCCCTTGGGTCGGGGGGCGAGCCTCGGGCGGCGCGCCGGCGCGCTGGCGAACGCGCGGAGCCGCTCCTCGAGGAAGCGGAAGGTCGCCTGGGGAGGCGTCGAGGAGATGTCGAGGAGACGTCTTTTGGGGGCGTGTGTGGAGGGCATTTTCTCCCTTCCCCCCCTCCTTTGCTGTTCTTTTATACCTTTTTTATTTTTTTGTGTCCGATTTGTTTTCTTCTCCTTGCTTTCTCTGCCTTTTTGTTCTTTCTTTCTCCTTCTTTTTTTCTTTGTTTTTCCTTTTCTTCTCCCCTTTTCCCTTTTTTTTTCTTTTTTTTTTCTCGGTCGTCCCTTTTTTTCCTTTTAT